GCTATGGGGAACGCCTTGTCGTGACCCGTGTCTTGAAGCATACATTGAAAAAACACCAACAACACGTTGGCCGGTGCGACTATAATATAAATAGGCGCTGGGAGAACACATCATCCACTTCTTCGTCTGAAACTTGCATCCGAAGCATGGCAGAAAACCTAGAGGACCCAGTGTCTCGTTCCCTACTCAGGGAACCATGGTTACATACGTAACCTGAGACGTTCCCTTTCAAGGGAACTTCGAACTGCGTCCTCTAGGGGTCGCTATGGGGAACGGTATACCCACGCCACCATGCTGAGGGGAGTGCATGCCAGAAAACCATGGCGAGCACTAAGTACCAACTCTACCATAGCCATGGGAGTTGCCCCTGGGACGTTAAGACGGCTGTCAGTGACATTATCCCCTACGGCCAAAGGCCTAGGCTACATTCCGCAAAAAACATACCTGTTAGGGCCAGAACTCCTGGGCCCGGGGTAGAGCTCAAGGCTTGGAATCAGGAATACCTTTAAGGGAATACGACCAAGAGCCTAGAATCATACTAAGTCTTGGCCTGTCACACAGGGGCTACCGCATGCTCGGCATATGCTGAAGGAACTGTCTCAACAGATACAAGGTGGAGTGGTGCCCAAGGTGAAACCGGGGCTTAACCAGCTTAAGAAAGGGCACAAAGCCCTCACCATACAGGATTTTAGAAAGAATGCAAAGTACTAGCGTGCAAACTTACCACAGTGTGGATTTTAGAAAGTGTACAAAGACTTTACGTGCACACTTACCATAACATGGATTTAAAAATACCGTTCTAAGGGGCCCTCATGGCACTTTGAAAGAGGAGCCCATAGATGGAAATGGTGCATCCCAAAACACTATGTTTGAGAAGTCATCAATTCGATTTAAGGTATAATGCTAGAGTGGCTAGCAGTAAATCTCTAGCTGAGGGAGCAAACACCCAGCTCTCAATCGAGAGGGGGCTCGATCTACAGCATGTTTCAATGCTGGAACAGCTAGCAGTTACTTAGTTGAGGGAGCAACACACCCAGTTCTCAATCGAGAAGGGGGCTCAACCTACAGCATGTTCCAATGCTGGAACGGCTAGCAGTAAGTTACCTTAGCTGAGGGAGCACAACACCCAGCTCTCAACAAGAGGGGGCTCGACCTACAGCATGATCGTCAGAAATCAGAAGGGTAAGAGGAGAACTCCGAATTCAGAAAGGAGTAGTGTGCTCATAGGTAACCCTTTGATAAAAGGGAAGCACTGCTAAACACTACCACGAGAACAGCCCACGGAGCGAGGAATCCAACTCCTCAGAAGGGAGAGAATTTACATGCTCGAAAGAAAGCACCATGCTCACAATAACCCTCAATGGTGAGGGGAGCAATGCTTCAAAAGTGTGTCAACAGAGACACACTGGTTGAGTGGAGCCCAAGGTACCGGGGTCTAAACCAACTCAGAGAAAGGGAACGAGGCTAATAATGCGTAACCCTTACCATACAGGATTTCAGAAAAGTGCGCAAAGTATAACGTGCACACTTACCACTATGTGGATTTCAGAAAGTGTGCAAAGTGTTCAGCGTGCACACTTACCACCCATGTGGATTTCATAAAGTGCACAAAGCTTAGCGTGTGCACTTACCATAGCATGGATTTAAGAGCTTCCCAAGCATCTGTTCACAGATACCCGGAAGTACTGAGCCAAACGGGAGAGGCAAGCTCAAATACAACCCTCTAAGGCAGGCATCTGATCACAGATACCCGGAGGTACTGGGCCAAATGGGAGAGGCAAGCTCAAATACGACCCTCTAAGGCGAGGGGAGCACTGCCTGAGACAGCATTACACAAGAAGGTTCTTGCAAATGCCACCTATACTTCCCGCTCGATGCCTCAGCAAGAGGGGATATCCTGGTGACCAGGAAGCCCCTCAAGGCAACCTAGGTGTACCAGACAGGGCAGCCTGAAAGCATAAGCCCAGCCTGGACATCCAGGAAATTTAGCAGTGCCGTGCCGTGGCCTGATGATCAAGAAGGCTCCCGCAGAAGCCTGTGACTTGGCCGCATGATCCAGGAAGCATGAAGCCGAAACCAGGCTATCATACCGGCTGGACACCATATCGACGAGTGAAGTAAACACTGCAAGTCGAGCACCCGGTTTCTGAATCTAACAGAGGGGGGTGCTCACCGAGGACCTACCCTAGAAAAAGGACAGAAACACACAGGTCCCGGAGAACACTGCAAAGAAAGCTAGCAGATGGTGATATACACACAACCACCAGTGCATTAAAATTACACATACATACACATATAAATATATATATATTTAGAAATGGATCGTACTCACCCACCATGGTTCCCGCGCCGGAGCCCCGTTCAAGAGCGACCCGAAGAAGCCTCTAGTCCGAACCATCATTAAGGTGGTCACTATGAAGCCATATCATAGGTCCAGCATAGGAGACTGTAATGCAGGAAGTTTCCACCTAACGTCGGTCAGGTGGAGAGATGGTAGTTTACAGGGGAATTAGGAAGGGAAAGATAAGGGCAGATGTAAAATCCCCGAAGGAAATGAGTAGATACTCAAGTATCACTCTGATCTGGACGAAAGCGCTGATGCCTTGTCTGGATCACATCCCTTAGGTCTTGCCTACCTCCCTTTGACCCGTGATTCCTCCTACCCCTACCCGCAGGCGGGGGAGGAGCGCGAGTCGCGAAACTAGCCTTCTGTGCCCATCTCTGATCCTCAAACCGAGACGGGTCAGGACCCCTGGGTTGTTCGGGCTTAGACTTGGACCTTCGTGGAATGAAGGATTTGAAGGCCGCTGAGCGCGCCTTCGCCTCCCTGAACTTCTCGTCCACCTTCTCAATAGAGGTACCAAAAAGTTTAGAAGGCGAAATCGGGGAGAAAGCCCCTCTCTTTCTTCCCGATATCTGCCAGGTTCACCCACAGATGTCTCTCCATCACTACCATAACTGCCATGGACCTGCCCATAGCAGAGGCGGCCTACTTAGTAGCACGGAAAGCGAGATCCGTGGTACGGCGCAACTCAGCTACCTCATCAGGAGAAAGGCCCTCGCCTTTATCCAGGTCTTTCAGCAGGTCAGCCTGATATGCCTGGAGCACCGCCATCGTGTGCAACGAAGCGAAAGCCTCTGTATGGAGATCAGGAAGAAAAGGAAGGCTCACCTGAGCTGGAGGGTTATGGCCAGTAAGATACTTTACTTTACGTTACTTTCTTTGCCTGCTTCCACGGCTGTGGCGCGATCCATAACTTCCAAAAGCTCATCATACGCAGGGCAGGAGGATTGGGAAGGCTCAGCCTCAGCTTCTTCACCCTCCTCAGACATTTCCTGCTCTTCCTGGGCTGAACCCAGTAAAGCACCTGCCCCTGGATCAGACGATGTTAATGAAATAACATCATCCTCCAGCGGCTCACTCTCGTCCACAGCCGACGATCGCGAGAGGGAAAGCCCCTCTTTAAACTCATCGACCAGATCCACCTGCGATCCCCACGAGCTCATTCTCCCCCGTGCCTCAGCAGATGGCTGCCCCTCTTTCCGAAAAGAGAGACAAACGAAATTGGAAAATTTCATTGGAAAATGCTCGCAGTGCACGCAGATTTCCCCCTCGAGGACATCGCGTGCATGATCTTCGCCCAAACAAACAACGCAGAGATCGTGTGTGTCATCAGATGTCAAATAACGACACGGATGCACACATCCTCTAAACGCTTTGCTAGTGCTCGCCATAATGATATGAATAGAGATCGCTCTTACCACGGAAATGCACGCTTCAAACAAAACAGTCAGTGAAGACGAAGAAGAGGATGATGTGTTCT